TTGGAAATACATTTCTGGCCCAAATACTTCACGCCACAACCGGCCCTCATCTGGTTTGCCAGAGTCAAGCCAGTGCCTCCTTTGCCACGCCTGGGCCGTGTTCGGCCCACATGCGTTATGCCATTGCCGACACCAGGCCAGCTGTGCCGGCTTCATGCCGAAGCCGGGCCAGATGCCTTTGCTGACTGGGTTGCGATCTCCAGCAGTTTTTTTTTACTCATTTTGCGAGCTCCCGCGTTTTGTTTTGAAGTAATCGGTCATGTGAAGGAGAAGCGCGGCTTGACGTGTGTCAAGCGTAACACAGACGGATGTAACGGAGAATCCGGTAGTTTTTCAAAATAAAATATATTTCGTATTCCCAATTAAATAAAACGGAATTAAGGCAAGTTCTTTCTGTGCGGCCCGGTACCAAATGCCCGGCGGACCGGTACCGGTCCGCGGACCGGCGGTTGGGGACCCTGTTCTCCAGTACTTCACACAGAGTGAATTATGTTCTTTGTTTTTATAATTTGAGCTTTAATGAAAACTACAATTCACCTTCTCAAGAAATGTCACCATTCGATAGAAGTTTTTAAAATGGATTTTAATAAAGAAGGTCTGAAGTGGCCTAAAAAATAGTTTAATTAATCCATCATTTCACCATTTTGAATTAAACTATTGAAATAAACCTACTTTTCTACCATATTCTAATTCATTGAGATGTACCAGGCGTCACGGTGTTTACCACGTCTGCCTCACAGTGAGTGTAAATGGTTCTTTGTCAAATGTGTGTTCTGCGAGCAGTTGGGGGTCACCTCGAGCGACCCTCATGATGATAAGCATCTTGGATAATGGACGAGATGCAGCAATGTAATTTACACCTACTATCATGTTTTCCGCATTCCACATATAAAAAAAGTGACAGTGCTCGACGAATACATGTCAGTGCAAAATAACGTATAAATTAAGAAGTCAAAATTACGTAAATATCTGTAGATAAAATAAAATTATATTATGTCAAAATAAGCCCATGTTAAAAACGGGAATGTCAATTGAGTCATAATTTGCTATGATCTAACTGATTCCCTGTCAAGGATTGTCTTTAAAAAATGTGACACCACATGCAAATGAATACCAAATGGGCTCAAAAGAACTACAATATGCACTCAAAAATAATCCAAGGAAAATGGTATTTCCGAACAAAAATACTTTTATTCTTTGAAGTCAAGCATTATTTGAAAGCGAAAAAAAGTAAGTCACACTGAATTGCCATTACATTCGATGGTGCAAAATACAATTCAAATACAAGTTGAACACAAAAAACATTTTAAAAAATAACCGATTGTGTTATGTTTCATCTGATTGTCATCAAATGGCTTCTTTCTGTCAATATAATAGCGTATGGGTATGACTAGATCAGATTAGTTTCGATAATTAGAAGCAGTTTGTGATCCAAAAGCAGCTGGAAAGTCTTGTTTGGTGTCGCCACATTGATTCACTATATGACAACGGTTGGGTGAGTAAGATTCGTAACACAAGCCAGTGAGTGTCGGTGTTGCCCTCCAGCAATTTAGAGGTGTGTGCTTAACGCCTGCGTGTGTTTTCGTTGGAGACGTCAACGTGTTGCAATTTCACCGAATGGAATTCTGGAGGTGGGTGTAGCAAAGGCATTTAAAAGCTGGAATCACTGTCATGTCACGCAAGCGTGTGTACATTGCCTACTCGAGAATAACTTAACGGTAAACTATAGCTGTCAGTCTCCCCTTTATAAAAGCAGAAACGTTGCTTTCCATTTTCATTGTCTCGCGGTAGATTTCAGCATGCAACAAGTTGAGTTGGAAATTGAGGAGAACCTGCAGCGCCACCGGACGGCCGGCTTCAGCCACTCCAAAGCTCTAGTGGTGCGAAGAGGGGCGCCGTTCAGAGTCAGCCTGCCGATGAAGGACAGCCCTTTTGACCCCAGCGCTGACACGCTGAGGGTGAAAGTTATGCTCGGTAGGACTTTTTGTTAGTTATTGTTTTATTTATTTAAATTAGGAAGTTAAGACCAAAAAAAAAAAAAAAACTGACAGCGACGCATTTTCCAACTTAAGTTATAAATTATGGTTCATTGACATGAAAGGGAGTTGAATATATATGTATTTAGATATTTACATTCATGTATTTAGGTCACGAAAAACAAAAATAAATGAATATATGAATATTGATTCTTAAAATCAATAATATTGAATGTGTTTTTGTTATATTGAAAATGTCTCAAAATGTGGCTCCCTCTATCTCTCTCCTCAGGCCGCCTGTACGTGACCATGCCCGTCACTTTGCCTGAAAACTCTCCTTCATCCCGTTGGGCGGCCTTTATGGACCCTAAAGGCCTTGATGTGACCAACCCATCAATGTACATATGTGCCCCGTCTTCAGCCTCGGTGGGCTGCTACAGTTTTAAGGTGTTGGCATTCGCTCAAGACAAGCTGCAGTTTCGTGCTTCGGGCAAATTCATCCTACTCTGCAACCCCTGGTGTCATGGTGGGTCACACTTCGTTTTATTTAAGTTCTCTCGTAATACTGTACGATTCTGAAAAAAACAAACGTATGCAGATATCTGCAAACAGTGTCATCATTGGACCTCCAAAAATAGATTGAGACCCATTTACAACGTTTTGATTACCTATTAATTGGTGCTCTGATCGATTAGCCACTGATCGTGATTAAGGGATTTGCATAGTAAAGTATGCAACTGTTCGACATGTCGGTCATTGCCTCACTCGCAGCTTGTACTTTTGCATCCTGCAGCCAACTCGAGACCAGCATGTGTACAGTATTGCATTTACTCTTCCTTTCCTTTTTAGTGTACGTTACAGACCAAGCCAGTCACTCAACAATAATCAATCATTGTTTGTGCATTTTGTGCACTGTCAATCGGAAATAATGTCTTGTATTTGTTTTTGCATAATCAAGGGATTAAATTTGGATAGAGTACATTTTTTTAAGATGAAATTCATGAATTAGTCAATTATCAAAATAATCATCAGTGAGTAGGTGTGAAATTGAAAATGTGCAGCTAATCTCTATCGGCCAATCTCACTCATGTGTGATCGGGAGTGCAATCGGCAGCAAAGAACCCTGATTGGAAAACCTCGACTTTTAATGACAAGGTCAAATCTGAGCTACTCCTTTTTCATCATGCTAAAACCATGAGAAATGTTGTATTATTTTATTTATTTTTATATTAAACAGTGTAACCGTTTATCATCATTGTATTTATTTTGTATATCTTTCTGACAGTGTCAGTGTAATTTAGTCTTATTTAATTTTGTTTAAAAACGTTTCATCAAAAAAATTTAATTAATAAAATGCTTTATTATTCTTTTTTTTTTTTAATTGTAGTACTGTATACATTTCTTTTGATGGTGGCGCAGACACCTGCAGCGGCTCCTCTTGTTTTATGTTGAGAGGGAAGTAATTTCATCTGTGCTGTATGTACACATACAGCACATTTGACAATAAAGTTGTATCCTATCCTATCCTAAATATACCATACAATAGTATTAAAAATACCAAAATCAAAATATCCATATTTGATGGTCTGTTAAACCCGATGTTGGTCATTTTAATCACTAGTGCGGGTCGGAGGTTCTTCAGGGGGGAAGGCGACACCGCCGTGGGAGTGGTCATAGCTGACTTCATTCATGTCCAATCAACCCTTTAAATGCTTTGTGCTAGTCGTGCAATAGTGTCTCGACATCGCAGAAGTACACCTGTGGCATGAAGAAGACACTTGAAGACCGCCACGCCCAAACCCCTTTGTTACAGCGACTTTCTGCCATTTTATAAGTGTCTTATTTTGGCGTGGCAAGGCAGCAAATTCATTTGTCGAACATGATTTGTACACTAGACAATTCAAAGTCTTGTTACAGTTTCAGCTACATGAAAGTGCAAAGCACTTGAAGTATACATACATTACATCCATCCATTTTCCGATCCGCTTTATCCTCACAAGGGTCGCGGAGGGTGCTGGAGCCTATCCCAGCTGTCTTCGGGCAGTAGGCGGGGACCCTGAACCGGTTGCCAGCCAATCGCAGGGCACACATAGACGAACAACCATTCGCGCTCACACTCACACTTCGGGACAATTTTGAGTGTTCAGTCAGCCTGTCATGCATGTTTTTGGGATGTGAGAGGAAACCGGAGTACTCAGAGAAAACCCACGCAGGCCCGAGAAAACCCATACAAACTCCACAGAGGCAGGCCGGAGCTAGAATTGAACCCGGTACCTCTGCACTGTGGGGTCGACGTGCTAACCACTGGATCACCAGGCTGCCTACATACATTACAGTCGACTATTAATAAAATATCAACACAACAAATGTAAATGAATTGTCAAGGCAACTGTTTACGTATTCACAGCTGACAGTGTCTACATTCCCTTCGAGGACCAAAGGGAGGAATACATCCAGAATGACTCAAGTTTGCTCTTCATGGGGACGGCTACCAACGTTGTGTCCAGACCATGGTCCATGGACCAGGTATGACACACAAAAAGTGCATTTTCTACATCATACAGTGCGTGTATAAGCCAAATGAATATTTTGTCACTCTTTGTCTTTATGCATGCAAAGTTTGAGCCAGGCATCCTGGAGGCGTGTCTCAACTTGCTCAATGTCAGCCCTCAACACCAACGCAATAAGAGGATGGACTACCTGTACCGTAACAACCCAGTCTACATCAGCCGTGTAGTTTCAGCCATGGTGAGAACACAATTAATCACCCAGCATAGCTGGGTATGCCCTTTGACTCACCGCCGGTGACGACATTGGCGTCACCGCAAGCCCATAAAGCAGGAACGCTGTCTGCTTGGGATGAACAATGTATGCTGGAGAAACCTGCCGGGCGAAAACGTTTAGGACGAGTTTAAATGCAAACAAGAGAGAGAAATGCCACAATAAGCAAAATAATAACAATAATAATAATGGGGTTTTCCTTCCTAGCAGTGTGTATGCCAGGCATGAGAAAAATAAAGAAACATAATTTTAAACCTACTAACTTGAGATCAACTTTTGAGAGTAGACAGGGTAACTCCTGAAAGAAGATTAAGGGTTAATAAATAATATACGTTACGTATGCAGTTGCGTGAGAAAAATAATGCAAACATCTTGAAAGCTGCTTACGTCAGCAATGTTGAAATTAAAAAAAAGTATCCATTGTATTGACGGTACAAAAATCTAGAAAAAAGAGATAAACTCATTAAAGGATAAGGAATTACTGAACATGTGATGTGAAGGGAGGTTCAGCAGCTAGAGCAAAAAATCTGAACAATACCTTTCTAATCAGGTCAGCTAACTTCCATGAATTTAAAAAAGAAATATATTGACGTTGGAAAACGTTTGAAAAAACAATGCACTAAATAAAGGATAAGGAATTAAAAAGAATCATGAGGGTAGACCCAGCAGCTAGAACAGGGGTGCCCATTACGTCGATCCTGATCTACCGGTAGATCTAGGACTCGTCCCAATTAGATCCGAAAGGTGTAGAGGAGAAAAAAAAATAAACATTTTTGTGTCTTTGTACGTTAGTAATATATTTTTTGTGTTAATGCACACTGCACCCTAATCATCCTATCAGTCTCATTTTCCCAAAGAAAGATTATAATAATAAAATAAAGCATATAAATCTTTAACCTACGGTGGCGCGTGACTACGTCAGCGGAAGTTGTTTACGCTCAGCAGTCTGCAATTGCAGCTTGTGATTAGAGCTGTTGCGCTCTATCTTTGATCGTCATTATTCTCATTCAGTTTGCTTCGTGTACAATTCACCGAGGGCACGGGCAAAGAATAGGAATCTAGAGAGCTAAGGGAAGCACTTTAAAACGGTACGTGTGAGC